ATATATAAATCAAGATAGCCGTTAACACTGTTAAATTATATATAAATCATCAAAGAAACGTCAATTGGTATGGTCACATTGTAAGGTTGGATAATGACTGTTTCCAGAAACTTTTAATGTTTAGAAATGACAAGCAGAAAGGAAATGGTAGACATCAAATAAACGTTAGAAAATCTATAAAGAACACATTTTGTAATTTTATTGACGAAAAGCAAAAGCTAATAGGGACTTGCTTACAGAAGAAGGAAAAGACGCTAATGCATACTGATGTCCAGATGATGCACCAAAATGGATCAAGATCCGATGGTAGATGATATGTATGTTTGTATATGAATTATTATTCAGCATTTTATGGCTATTGTAACTATTTTTATATTTTGATATAGGCCCACTTGTAAATCCTAGGAAATTGGCAGATTTCGGTCTCCTTTACCTGGAAAGGAGAAGCCGAATGTAAAACGAGTTCAACTTCTCTCCATTCAGATCGCTTCGTCTGAGGACCATTTTTACTCCAAATAGGCTCATCGCCCAGACGTCCGTCGTGCATTATCCAGACTTTAAGTGTTCCCATATTGCCACCAAGAAGGTCCCACATGCTATACCAAAAATACAAGATATTCAGTTCTGAACTCGATTTAGATGGGCTAAGAACCGGGCTGACTAACTTTGCTGAGCTTCCATCCCTTGCATTGTTTCCTTCAAGGTACACAAAGCGTCCACCTGTGCAGGTAAATTTCGTATAAACGTTATTAACCCCATGGCGGTATGTTTTTAGTCAACACAGTACATAATGTAACAATAAATACACAATTGCGATAAAGTCATGTATATTACAAGTATCTTTCATAATAGATATGGAAAGAGATTAACACAAAATAGAGCTGGTTTGATATGGGCAATAAACCCAGCAATTATGGGCACGGTGTTATCCAAATGAACAACTTGGTTATCTCTCAGTAAATAGTACCGCTATTGCATAGATATGGATAATAATATATTAACTTTTCAATATTTTACTCAAATATATATTATTATACCGTACCATTCAAATTGCAATAGTCATGATACATATTCATAATTATTGTAAGTACAATCGATATTATTTCTGGTATTTAAACTAGAATTGTTTATACAACAATTATTATTTTTCATACTTCCAGAGGTGTGATCACCCGTTGGACCAGTGAGTGGTGTTCTAGTTGGGAAGCGTCTGCGACCCCAATCAAATTGATCATCAAATGAATTTGTCCAGTCACAGAGATTATCGTCAAAATCACAGTCACCAACTAAGTTAGGAAACAAATTATGTAAACTGATGAGAAAAATCAAATGTATAGTGAACACACACACACACACACGCACACACACACACACACACACACATATACACACACCTGTCTCTTATATTGTATTGCTGTCTCTTATACACATCTAGATGTGTATAAGAGACAGGGTTAACTCGGTGTACTGGTTCATACCACCCTTGTTGTTGAGAGACGAGAACAACTGGCACCGGTTTACCGGGTCGCTCAGATACGAAGTAACCCTTAGGGGAGAGGTAAGTTACTGTACGGGGAAGTCAACACTCGAACGTTTCAGGCTTCGAAATTAGTGTTATAGAATCTAACTACATTACATTCATTTTGCAAAGGACTTACAGTACCGTCATAATTTAAATGGTACTTCAGGCAATAGCTAATGATTGCCAATTCCGAAATATATCACTGTCTTATATCAGGAGGGAAACTCGTTAACAAGTTACGCATGAACAAACCTTATATTCTTTTGGCATGTGATTGGTTGTTTAATTAACTTTCGTTAAACCCCAACCTAGATATATCTTCCGTTCTTTCATGCTATTAATTCATAGTAGTGTATGGCGGAAATAGTTTGTTGAATCTGTTTGTTCATATACAATTTAAAACTATATTTTATATTTATGTATCTATCAAAACTAATCAATAATTTACAATAATCTAAAAACAAAATAATATTAAATATTTCCCCATCTAGATTCGAACCGAAGACCTTCAAATTTCTGCTCGGATACTCTACCAACTGAGCTACAAGGCGAAGTGGTACACCTTTGGATGTTCCCATTAGGGCACGTTGTTTTCTCAATCTATTATACGCAATGAATAATAGTAAATCACATGAAAGTAACTCCACTCCACTGGTGGAGGTGTATCTCCATACCAAAGTTACTTTCATATGATAAAATATTAAGAATATGAAAAATAGTGAACATCTAACCTTCACAAACAACAGGATAAAGGAGGTAACTTATAAGTAACAACGTTGTTCCAAATTTGTAGCAAATCATTTCAAAGAATTCTCAGTAAAACGATATAAATATTAATTCACGCTCATATAACAACTCCGATCAACACTTTGTAGGTCTAAATTATACCGTATATTGATTAGCAATATTAGCAAGTAGCTTGTAACACATCGAAGCTCGTTGAAGTATACACACCATATAATTGTTAAGATAACTGATGGGACCATAAACCGCACTTTGCACCTTAACTGTTATATACACTGCATATATACACTGTAGATACGGCAGATAATTACATAGGTTCATGTTTGGATATTGTTATCACTTTGTAAGCATCGTTAATGATCCTTCAAAATTGTAGAGAGTGAGATCTCAAATACAAATTACAGTGACCTAATTCAAGAACCTAATAAACTCAATATCCTGAATCATTAATGTTGATTTGTTTCAAAACATTAATTACCTAATGTTTCAGTGAGCGCCTACAATCCAAATTAGGCCTACATTATTTTTTTTTAATATCGATAATTACTAGTGTGGTAGTTCATAAATACATTTGATAAGGATATATTGAATCACAGATTATGTATGATGGTTGAATCATGACTGGCTGATGTCAGTGAGGTTTGAGGCAACTGTTGCCTCAGACGAGGTGCTGCATTAGCGACGTAGATCTATGCTATAACTTGTTGAAATAATAATAACGATAAAGTTAGGAAATTTAAAGTTGTAAAAAACCCGTTACTTGCTGCGTCATTGTGTTGTATTGCGTATGGCTTTGGTCTGTGGCAACTGCATCAGTGCAGCTTTAGAGAGGTGCTCAGTTGCTTCGTGTTCTCATATTTCCGCACCGACAGGGGTTGAAATGACCCAGAGCATCGTGGTTGCCCCATACTCTTTCAAAAGATGTAATGGGTTTATTAAACTTCACATGAGCCAAAATGTATTAATATCCGATATTACCAACCGAACCATCTCCAATGTTAATGGTGTAGTTAGCGGTGTCATTGCCTTACCTCTTTACCATTTGAGACGCCCAAAATGATGATGAAGAAGATGATGATGATGATGATGATGATGACGATGATGACGACGATGATGATTAGATAATGATGGTGATAATAATGAAGAAAATCAAATATAAACAAATTTCGGACACGTAACGGTGGAATCGTGGTAAACGTGTATTGCAAGTATATTTACCTGTACATTTTAGAAATAATGACGATAATTTTATTATTTGAAAAAAAAATCATTATAAAATACAAACTATTATACCGCGACAACAAACATAGACACATGATCAGGTTATCCTAATAATAAACATTTATATATCACATGGTTTCACTTAGCATAGAACTTGAGTAATATTATATACAATACAAATCTTTAAATAAAATTGGAAATTAAAACAAAATCCCTTGGAAACCACTTTGAAATATTTCCTAGAATTACTATACACGTTAAATAATACAGTTTAAAAAATTAACATATTTATTCTCAATAATAAATATTAGATGTAGAACTGGTTGACTGATGTTTCAGTTACAAAAAACAAACCAGATTAATTTATTCGAATGAATATTAGGCCTGCATTCATTATTATAAATCAACATACATTTTAAGCAACTAATTTCGAGAGGTTACGTCAGTTACCGTAACTATGGTGTGATGCTTTACTTAGCCTGGCGTGTTATCGCATTGAATACTCAGTACTTACTCAAATATTTGTAAAAAAAAAGGTGGATGGAACATCATTTTATTATAATTAACTAATCCGTTTTGCTTTTCATAATAAATTATTTGTATCATAAAATCATGACAAGTAACTTGCTAATGTACAGTTATTTAACAAAAGATTAGATTTTAAAAATGAAATTCTATCTCAAACTCCTATTAATTAATGTGGTATTGTTTGAATTCAATATCCCAAGTAAAATACATCTGCTAATTATAAAAAGCTAGTTTTACTTTTAATATGTTATAAAGGAGGTAAAAACGTTGAAATAAAGCTTCCATTGTATTCAAATCAATTATTTTAAATAATACTTTTTTCATTTGTTTGGTATTAGGCATAACTTAATTCTATATAGTTCGTGAAATAGCATAAAATATGAGAGGGAATACTAAATTAAGCAAAAAAAAAAAGTAATACGCTAAATAAGTAAACGATGATGCTCATTGCGTTGAGTGAAAAACGAGACTAGAGCGCTTTACAATACCCTTGTACTCAGGGGCGGCGCCAGAAATTCCCCGACGAGGGGTCAAAGTAGACCAAGTAGACTCTTTCGTTCTGCTAAGATATTAGGCACAAGGTATTGTCGGCAAATCCAGCATCTTTATTTGCCCTCTTACGAATCTTTTCTGTAAAAACACAATATAAGCAAACATTAATAATGCAATATCATATAAATATTTAGAAATTAAAGCTTGTCATCATCGTTAGGAGTACCGTCATCACCGTTTATCAGCAGCAGTAACAACATCAACAGCATTAACAATCAGTATCATTGTTTTTTGGAGAGAGGGTTGAAATTATCAATTTACCTGCAAGCTTTACTTTGCCGATCCCGCTTAAACTATCAAACAACTCTCGAAGAGGATGTTCCTGACACCCATGCAGCCAGATAAGTAACATGCGATATGTGTGCTCTTTCCAACTTGTCTGACCTGAATCAATAAACAACGGAATAGTCTATGTAAGTAAATTAGGCATTTTAATTGTAGATATTGGATAACAATTACCATCACAGCTTCAGTATGTTAACTGTAAATGTTAAAATGCTATGCGGTTACACAGTAGGCCTACTTAGACAATTCTTCATACTGCATCTAGTCCACAAATGCCTAAGAAATCCAGTATTGAAGGAATGTACTGTACAATAAACCTAAGGTTGAATTTGCTTATCGAAGAAGACTTGGTTCCAGTAATACTTCAGCAGCGGGAACGGTTTGGTTTCCAACCTCGAGGTCGGGGTTTCAATTCCATTCATTCTCTCCACGCAAAGAAGTATAAATGGGTGCCTGAGAATGTTCGAGTGCAAAAATGCGCTGATATATTTCATGCAGCAAACTATGGAATTCCCCCCATATATGTATCGTTCCAATGACTGAGGTAATAATGTGGACAAGCGCTCTGATACTTAGTTACATATAGAACGCTATATTAAAGCCTAGGCCCTACATATTATTATTAACAACTGGAAATTTGTGCGACAAATAGCATTTTAGCTCTTTGATGTTACTGACCTGTATGTTGTTGTCCAATTGCCTTAACATGTGCTTCTGTGAATCCCCAGTGGTAAGCAAGTTTCTTCCAGTCGTCCTGTTTAAAGTGTTCTGTTGCTAAGGACCAGAGAATTGGTTTCATTTGTTTAGCTTTCTCTGACGTATCTTTGCGAAACTGATCCACAGGTTTAGGGGGAATGCTGTTGTTTTCTTCAGCCTCTTTCTGAAATTTTTTTAAAGAAAATTCATGATGACATAACTTTTATGTCAAGCATACAGAAAGTATGATTTACATACGTTTGAGCATATTTTACTGTAAAATAGGCCTATGACCAGAACCAGAGATAATGTCGTCTTTTTTCAAGTTTTCTGTCGTTTCTTCATGTAGATATTGATTACATATATAATTAGGTTTGCATATTTATGAATGCGGAAACTCCATGCATAATTGTGTTCGTCTGTACATACCTTCTTGTTCATGTATCTTTCAGCTTTTATCAGCATATCGACGATGGTGACATTGTCTGCCCGAGCTGCGATGCTGATTGCTGTCTTGCCACTCTAAATAGTAAGAGAGATATCTCCAATTAATCTTTATCAGAGTAACTGGAATTATACTAATTAATATATGTTCAGAATACATTAACGTTTTCTTTGATCTTCGGCTCCGACGCGCACTATTGTTTGATACGTAGAAAATACGTACCCCACACCTCTGTAACTATTTTGATAGAGTGGCTTAAACATCTCCGCTCAAGCCAACCTTCTAAAATAAGCTGTAATGGCCATTCTATATAAATATGGTTAAAAAAGTAATAAGACCATGTGTACTATACATAGGTTTACCGTTGACACTCATTCTAATTATTAGATCAACGGGATCATTCTTCACATTCATCAGAGTTTCTTGTAAAATTACTACAATTGTTAACTTACTTTGTCCGTAAGTGTCACGTCCGCGCCTGCTAACAGCAACTGGTCAACAACATTACACAAATTGTTTTCAGTTGCTTCGTGTAAAGCTGTTCGTTTTTTCTGAAAAGATAAAAAACACTATTAAATACGATCTTGCTATAAAAATCTAGACACGAATGGATGTATGGCATAAAGCTTTGGTTCATGGTGGACAGGACTTGCCCGACGTTGGGCCGAGGTTCCCCCGACTAGGTGTCAGATTTCCCCTACGAAAGAAAAGTGGGCGTGGTCGAGCTTCAATTAAAAAGTTCCGAAAGTGGTCCTTGGAAAATTTCAGCAATATAGAGGTTTCAAAGGCTTATTTTATCGATTTTAGAGTCTACTAATATGTAAAAAATACATACAATATTTTCTTCTCCCCGACGAATTGTGCTTTTTCTCCCCGACGGGGGTGGGAGGCAGCTCTCCCCGACGGGGGACCCTGCCCCCCCGGCCCTTCGCTGGCGCCACCCCTGATGGTGGATCATGCTTACCTTTTAATTCCGTAGTTTGTTTGTTTAATTTCACAAAAATTACATGATCGTTATCACATCCCCACACATCATAATGGCATATGGTCATAATTGAACATTCAGTAGATTTAAAACTTCACAACTGACCAATAAGAAGGTCAGGCTTACATAACCATTACACTTAAAAAAAATATTTACTTTATTAAAAACTACTATTCGTATATAATAGTAATTTTAGGATACTATACTCTAGTATAGATAGCTTTACCTTATTGATTGCGTTGATTGCACATCCTAATTCAGTGAGTGCCTTTAGCGACTTCATTTTCTCCAGCAAAGCACACATATGTAGAGCTGTGTTACCAGTCTTTAACAAAACACACGATAATTATTTATTCAAAATATTCTCTACTCCATGCATATACAATTATTATACAATTATACAATTGTTAGTACATATTACTTATCATCATATTACCAGCATCACCACGTGATGCTGGCTATCTTTATCATCCTTAATATCATCGTCATTTTTATCATCCCTATTATCATCGTCATCGATGTCAATGCCGTCGTTATTTTCGTCATCGTCCTCTTTTTTACCTACCTAAGTGTATACCAAACTATTAAACTTCAATTGATTTTGTTATAGTTTACTTTCACCTCGCAGTTTAGAAAATGATATATAAATCTGAACACTTTGAGGAGGAAAATGTTACATAAATCAAAATTGAAAAATTTTCTAAACTCATTTATTTAATAGTAATAATAATAAATAAATAAAGTTTTTTAAACAAAAATTAAATATACATACCAATGTTAAAGAGTAAAATTTCTTTCGTTGTCAATTTAACCGAAATTTTTTAACAGTTTTTTACCTACCCCGTTGCGTATATTGATCCTACAAGTGTGGTTTGCAAGTACTTGGATAACTTCAACGTGTTCGTTGAGGGCAGCAAAATGTATAGCACACATTTCCATCTAATTTTGTATCCATGGAAATTAGAAAAAAAAAAAAACACAACTGTATTAGCATTTCACATTCAAAAAGTAACAGAACTTTAGCTGCTTTGAAATCCGTAAGTTAGGTAACGATTGGCCCAACGGTTTTCTAAGAATCTGAACCTTGTGGTGGTCGTGGAGTCGAAATATTGGTTGTGTCTTTGGGGGAAAAGTGTTTTTCCTATATCGCTTTGCCTTAACCGGCATGATAAAATTGGCAATACACTAGTATTAATAAAAGTGTCTTAATTTAATACTTACAGTTTTTTCCTGTATCAGTGGACAGCATTATGAATATGAAATAAAAAAGAATATCATAATTAAAAAGTCTTATCATGTATGTATTTATGCCTTACATATGCCTGATAATGAGCATACATTTACGTTGTTGACAGTAAACGAACAAGCTTAAAATATTATTTATTATATTACAACATGTGATATTAATTTAATGTACCATGCTTTTGTATCTTTGATATGATATTTTTTTTGCAGTATCGAGAAAAATTTTTAATACATACAGGAAACCATACAATATGAATTGGCAACAACGGCTTAACAGTAGATTGATGAAGGTTTACAGTAATTATATTCTTACATTTGATTTGGCATTTATATCGGCATTGTTGCGCAGTAACAAATCGACGACATCTGCATAGCCTTCCTCGGCTGCAAAATGCAGAGCTGTTTTACCCTCCTAACAAAAAAAAAAAAAACAAAAAAAAACAAAAAACACATAGATTTGTGAAGTACTCTGATAATACATTATTAATTTTTTTTAATTTACCCCAATTATCATCATCATAATCGTTTTAAATAAATATCTAAACCAAACGTAATGTTCTTGAGTAAGGATTGAAATTACTGTGATTTTTTCTAGTTGTTTTTGTTCAGTTTGTTTTCTGCTTCATCTAACTTTCTGGACTTTTAATATGCCTGTGAAGCTGTATCAGCAAATGGTTGAAAAAATGTAAACATAAACAACATTCTTACCACATTTCTACAATCGACCTCCAATTCTTGCTCAATTAGCAATTCTACTGCTGGTGCGTGCCCACCTTTCGCTGCAAGCTGAATCGCTAAACAACCATCCTATAAACACAAAAATAGGCATGCCATTATCAACAATGATGTACTGTAACAGTAAAATAAAAGGCGTTAATACTTAATGTAATACCGTATTTAGCAGGGTTAATAAGAGCACGCAGAGACGTTAGTTTGCTGACGTGCTATAGAAATTAAACCCATATTAATCAGTAAGAAGACGAGTATTATGTGATTTGGATTTCTTTTTCTTTCGTCATTGTATTGTACGACAATGTATTGTACGGCAATGTATTGTACGACAATGTATTGTATGACAATTTGCGGTGTAGTGTAGGTCTACCTACTTTAAAGTACTATATAACGCTTAATGCATGTCACGAAAGCCTGCCCGTGTATCGATAAACACCTCAAGTCTCTAGCGTGCTACATTTGTCTTACAGTGAGAAAAACATTATATTTGATCTTTAACCATTAATTAAACAATTAAATAAAAGATTAGATAAGCTTAACTTAATGTTATTAACTAACCTCTGTTCTAGCAAACTTGTTACATCTCTGAGTTATTAAGTATGACAACACTTCCACACGGCCATTCTCGGCCGCAAGATGAAATGGTGTCTTCTTACCCTGTAAATTAAATCGCAACAAATTTTCGTGTTATGCAATGCATGGTAAAGACTTGTTATCGATGACCTGATACGTATGAATTAGAAACTGGTTACAGTACTTGTTTAGTGTTATTATTCTCTACAGTAATTAGGACAACGGTCACAATAGTCCAAAGTAAATACAGTACAATTATATCTCAATAGGCCTTATGATATGCTTTTTAGGAATAGCAATATTTATATTAATAACAGTAACAACATATTATAATAGTGATAATAATAATAATAATAATAATGAATACAAATGATCGTTCGAAATTGTAAAAAGGTGATATAAATATGTAGTACTATACAATAAATATCTATTAATAATTACATTAATCAGCAAATTTGACCAAAAAACACTATGTAAACAATGTTTTGTTCATAGGCATTAAATTAAAGACAAAACAAAAACACGCACACAATATTTGCTCATCTTAAGCAAGAATGACCAGACAAGAGGAAGTGCAGATGAAAATATTAGCAACGAGGCGTCGATGAAAATTTGAGCAAACATTTAGTGATAATGGTAATGTACCGTTCCGTTAAGCCCTGCCTGTAGATATTGCTGCTGGGGTTCCAGAAAAACTAAAGCGCAAGCCTGCGTTTCTCTGGATTACCTGCACTTGTGGGACGCATGCCTATTACTAGCCCTGTTCCTATTGGTCATTTGTTAATTTGACACTCCAGTAAGGTCCATTAAATAACAGATAATTATTTTTCAGAAGTGGGATTCAATTTCAATGGTCACTGGTGCAGCACAAGTAGGCCTATGTATGACATTTATGAAAAATTATTATTATTCAACATTATGAAACCATTCAGATTAAAATATGATACGTTAGTAATATTTAAGCCCCGTACAGACTGTCCAATTTTATTTGAAAAAAACACTTAACATGCCTAAATATGGTCGTGATGACATCACATAATTACCATAAGCACATCATGGCTATTATCTGGGCTTACAACAGTTTTTTATTCAAAGAAAATTTGATAGTGTGGACAGAACTTAAGTAATTGAAATAAGAACATTTCGAAACATAATATTATTAAACTCAATGGGAATACTTCGTGGTAGTTATCCTAACATAGAAACGGTATATTAATTTACCAGCCACTAAAGGCCTGTTTACACTTCAACGAGAACGATAACGATGAAAATGCTAAAAAGCGATTGTTCATATAGAAAACAAAAGAAATAAGAGAAGTTTTTACACTAGGACGATTCTATAACGATTTATCGTGTATGCAATAACAAAATATTTTAAAAAATCAAATCAGATGACGTCACAATCATCGACAAACGATAAAATCGTTGCTACTACGACGATTTTAATCGTTATCGTTGGAGTATAAACAGGCCTTAATAATTCCGTAACACTGAAATTCCTTCATATGAAATAAAAATATATAATAAACACTATGATTTCCAAGGTTAAAAAAATCGATTAAGATTGTCGTTTAATATATATATATCATGCCTTAGTAATGTACGGTACGGCTCTTAAAATTGCCATCCAATGATGGTCACCTGATTTTTTAAGCCTGTCAACTAAAATCTAATTATTAAATGATTTATTGACACTATTGTCAAACTGCATTAAAAATGAAATTAACGACGATTGCAAAATCCAGCGGAGAAAACTTGAGTTATTAGAAATATAATACGTTTTGCAATAATAGAATCTCTATGGATATGTATTGGAACTTATTCTCACAATCTGGAATGTAGGCCTTGAGGTGCTTTATATCACAATTATGTATAAATACTATCACAAATTACGTGACATATTGTATATATATATATATATATATATATATATATACATACATATATACAGTACATATATATACATTATACATATATATATATATATACACATATACATATACATACATATATATTATATGTATATATACATATATATTATATGTATATATACATATATATGTATATATATGTGTATATATATATATGTGTATATATATGTATACATATATGTATATATATATGTGTGTACATAGGCCTATATATAATTGAAATATGTATTTTAATATTGTTGATTATATTAATTTTACATCGAAATATATTAATTTGATAATTTATATAATTAAAATATATATTCATATAAATTAAAGGTGTTGCATAAGCAGATAAATATATGTAAATGAAATAATCTGAAATTTGCCACAATTTATAGAAAATCAGAATCAACGAGATCTTTTAGTAGTGAACCTTCAAGTTATAATTACTTCTAATCGAAACAAAAGCCAGAGTTGCACAGTAGGTTATCGTACAGTAGGTGTGTTCGTGATCAAGCGTTACAGGTCTAGAAAGAGACTACAGTCAATCTAGATTCAGGCATTTTAGTGTTCAATAAGCAACAACAGACAATTACATGCAAGCCAACAGAAAATAGGACGACATATAGTAAGTCGCTGTAAGCGAAGCACAAAACATAATACAAACGCTGGCGAAATCGACTGAGGCCCCAGGACGTTTAGTAAAAAAAAAAATCAGTTAATAGGCGAAAATCGGTCGTGATAATTAGGCCTAGGCCAATATTACATATGTGAATTTCTGCGGGACACACATGATTTTAAGTTGCCATAATTAATTGACGGTCATGATGTTCACGTTTGGCGAGTTTGGTTATCTACAAAATATATTTTGAAGGCATAAACATTATATGCTATTTAAGTTAAGACTGTATAGAAATAATTATAATAATATAAGCATTTAATAAATTTCTCAATTTATTTTAATGAATTCAAAAGTCAATAGACACATTTGTTTCTGACCTGAGCTAGATAAAAATCATAGTACTGTAACCGTACTTGTTAGCAAAACAAATATGCAAAATTTTACTGGGACATACATCTGTTAGAAGCACAATAGGCGTGTT